CATCGCTAGCAACGTATGAAGAACACAACCATTTTTGAGTCCAGCAACATCAGTAACATCAACATGAACAGTAGTGTAGTATGCACAAGGAGAACGGCTATACACTGTTATCATCAACCCGATATCGTTCCGATGACGCTAGCTAGTGAAGGAGTCCATCTCCTTCCTTCTCTAGCTCCTTCTGTTCCTTTGCCAGATCCTTAAGACCTCTTAATCCTGGTCGCTGAGGAGAACAACACCAGAGCGATACTGCATAGTCACCTAGCCAACATGCGTGATGAGGCGATGGAGCCTGCCTACCCTGAAGGAGGACCTAAGTGAACTTCGGGCAAGCGTGCTTCGACCAAACGGGCTGCTCTCGGTTGTTCCCTGATAATATTACGAAACTTCCGACCACTTGAGTGAAATATCTAAGCCCACTACTACTGTTTGCTCCTGAGGCTTATCCTCAGCAACCCTCTTTGGTTCATCGACTTTCGGTTTCACCTCTCCACTGCTTCCCTCGGATATCACAACCTTGGGCGCCTTATTCTTCGGCGAACTTGGTGGCGACTCAACCTTCGGCTGTTTGCTCTCAGCCGAGCCCTGAGGTGTCGTCCTTCCCGGTAGCCTCCCAAATCTCCGCGGAGCCTCTCCCTAAAACAGGGAAATCTCGAAATATGTCGTCTACGGCAGCATAACTTGTCCAGTCTCTCAAGAGGCGGCTACAAGATTCTCATTCGGCCCAACACGAAATGGTCACAGGACTTAACTACTCTACCGGAGCTTAACCAACTCACACTAGGCTCGGACACGCTCACACTCCTCGGCTTGGCCACTGGTGATTCTCTCGGGGAATTCTTCTCCTGAGATCACACCGCGAGTAAGAGCGAGTCATGGGCTGCACGCGACTTACCGTGGCGTCGTCATTTTTATTATGGAGCGCCTTCAAGTTCGGGAGACGCAGACTTCTTGTCTGAAGCACGAAGACACCATGCACGGCACCCAACACTATCCTATGTACATATCAAGTCTCCAACTAACAATACAGAATCGAGATATCACCCAGGACGTAGACTTACTCCATTCTTGCTGGGTTCCTCCTTCCTCGCAGAATTTGCAGTTCCCGATTTGCGTAATGAGCCACGGAAGCTTACTTGTCTACGCCCATTCTCATCCGTCCATGCCTTTCCACCCTATACACCAGCATACGACCAATCACTCTCGACGGCTATGGTTCCCCTCACCCCTCGTGTGAAAGGGCTCTTGGGTTCATCCTTGGCTTCATTCGGACCGGCTCCCTTCAACGATTGCTCGCCCTGTTTGCGTCTATCTTCCTCCTAAATACAGAGACGACTACGTCATCATACTCACATGTACTCCCACGAACGAGTGGGATCGAGAAATCAACCAGAGCAGCTCATGTGGGGCTTTTCCACCGGCATCCACCCGCTCACCCTTCCCTGTCTTATCTTCTCTAAATCCTTCTGCAGACTCACAAGGTTATCTCGGACTCGCCCATTCTTAGTGGCAATGGTCTGCTCATACCAACACTTGTATTCATTCCGTGGCGACCGAACCAACTCACTCTCTTAAGTCCAGACTTGGAGGGTTCAGCAAGAACAGCAACAGGAGGAGGAGACTCAATCCTTTCCTTTACTTTCTGAGATTTGTCCCCGTCATGCTGAGGGGAAGTTCATATTCTCTACCCATTACGTGCGCTGACCAGTGGAGTACTAGATAATAGCATGAGTTGTTCAAGGTAGACAATGCTTGGTTAGATTATCAAGAGTCCACACTGCGTACGGCAAACACGTTTCGAAACACCGGTCGACTTACCCTCTTGGCTGCAGCAGCCTCAGCTTTGGCTCGCCTTTCCTGCTCGTACTCATTGATTCTTTTGCGCACCGACCCCCGGCGTTGGACCCCATTTGCTGCCACAGTTTGCTGAGCAGGAAGTGCTTGTGCCATGAATATGGTCATGGATAACTCCATGTGAGATCTCAGATCCTCGATCGGTCTACTCTGCACGATAACGGTAACTTACTTCAGTGGATGCTGGTGACCCCTTAGGTCTATCCGCCGAACCGGTCTTGGAACGCTGAAAGGACAAAATGGATACCGTAAACGGACCAACGCTAGCGACCAGGAACAATAAGCAAGTGAACAGGCTCACATTAATTACCGAATCCTACTGAACATTTCAAGAAGAGCATGCCAGAAATGCATCCATGTATCCCTGCTTCAGCAGCTCACCCTATTCATATACTTATCCCGTCTCAATCGTATGCTATCATACCGAGCCAATGACGAACTACTCTTCTCTGGATTTTCTTCTACCTCTGGCCGTATCACGGATTGCTGAAGGGAAAATATGCGGCTCTGACCAGGAACAGCACGACTAGGATATGTGATGATAGTAAGAATCGGTAGGTCCTCTCAGATTGACTGTCCAAAGTTGAATTAGCCAATCACCATTTTGTAGCACAGATTCACCTATGTTAACCGACTGGCCTGCAAATAGTTGAAGAAAAAATATACATGTAGTTATGGAGCGATCCTACACAGTAATGCACCATTAAATCGCCTTACCATAGCGGGCTGCTCCTTTGGGCTCGCATTAACCGATTTGTTCTCCTCAACCGAGCTGTTCTCATCAACCGAGTTGTTCTCATTAACCGAGTTGTTCTCCTCAACCGAGTTGTTCTCATTAACCGAGTTGTTCTCCTCAACCGAGTTGTTCTCATCAACCGATTTGTTCTCCTCAACCGAGTTGTTCTCGTTAACCTCCGTGTTCTCGACTACCACTCCTTTCTCCTTGCTCGCTCGATCCTCATTAACCGCTGTTCCGCCAACCGCTTCCTCGTCCTCTTCCTTATCCCCATCCTCGGACTCGTCTACGAGAGCACCTCTATATCTGTCCCCTAGTTTGTTCAATTCTTCATCAAATTCAACACCATTAACCGTCTCCTGAGATCAGAGACGGATCAGTAAACGTGCCGCAAAGAGATGTTAAAGAAATGTGGTTTTTCTCACATTGAACTTCACCCTCTGCGGAGTCTTCGCGACGGAGTTCTGAAATGGACCCAGTGATCACTATATAGGTCGTAAGGCCGGAAGGGCTCACTTTGCTTTTCAATATACCTTTGATATTCCTGGATGCCGGCATGACCGTTTCCTCACTCGGAGGCTGAAAGTTATCGTTAGGGACTTAGTACACAGCCACCAGTCCAACTTACCGCATCACCGTCTACTTTAATAAAACATATCAAGGCTAACCAAAGGATGACAAAGAGGCGGCGACACATCGGTAGAGGATGAACAGTGCAACTGAGGGGTATGTGGAATTCTACGGAATTGCCAACAACAGCAACTGCACAACACTCCGCGTAGGATACATAGAACGTCGCAGTGTAGACACCGTCTAAACGATGTGGTGTTGATCTATCAAGGATGCTCACAGGGAGGAGTGATAGACTAGAACGAGCCACGAGGGTGAGCTGGGCAGCGTGTAAGAAAGAGCGCATCGCAGCGGAAATCGATATTCGAGCAGTAATTGCTGGAAACACAGAGACGCCCGAAAAGGATGTGCTACCAGAAAGAAGAAGATAGCAAGGGATAGGACGCCTCATTTCAATGCACTGTCGCTGTGTATAAAAGATAACCAATTCGCAGGACCGCATGGAGGACTATTGGATGAAGGTGAGGTGAGGGAACAACAGCCTCTATCGAAGGACTCACCCATTTCAAAAAAGTCGATTGACAGACTCACAGCAGTAACACACGGAAGTGAGCATACACAACGTCGACACGTATGCGTGATTGCTAAGAAGAATTCTTATGTTTACCAATGGCATTCTCGAGGGTTAATGATGCACCAGTCATCAGCATCCTAAGAATAATCACTCCATATTAATGAGCATGACACATGAGTAGTGATTAGATCCATCTGTGGGCGAGAATCCCATTTAAAGAAATATTCACATTGTAAAGGTCGTCAAGGCGGATGTCGAAAATTGGTGAACACGTTTCCACTCTCACAACGAAAGCTCCGCTTCCTTTCATGACAGACCAGTATAAGCCCTTCATCACATTAGATAACAACTCGAGACACGATTCTGGTAATACGACGATAAGGAGGTCATGACATCACAAGGGCACATGGAACACTCAGACATAAGCAGATAAGGGATCTTCCATCAGATCGTCCGCTAAGATGATTTCCTCGTCATCATCAATGTCGTAGCCGATATCATTGCTTTCCTCATTGTTATTCGTCGCATCCTTGTCCTTCAACCTGCCCATATCTTCCTCCCCCTTGTCCGGATGACCCGACTCGTCCTGAATATACAACACCTATATCACATTTAACTGGGAAATGAGGGCGCAAGATCTCAAGCGTGTCCGCTAGTCAATGAGAAGTAGTGAATCGTACAGAATTGGAGGTACCAAACCTACGACCTCATCGACACCGTGAACCGAGAGGGCATCAGGAGAGTTGGGTCGATCGGCACTCACACGTCCAATCAGAATGGCTTTCACCATATTGTTCGACAGAACCCGCTTTCGTAGCTCGTCCGCATCCTTTCGCTGAAAAGAGGGAGAGAGAGTCATGTTGCTTCTAGAAGCCAAGCTCAAACTCACAAATCTTCCTGGAGTCTTCCAGGCTCCCTTTACTGTCAGTTTGCCTATGCGTTTGCTAGAAGCTTCAGCTACACACCATATGAGAGCGAATAATGTGAGGATGCGGGGTGTAGTGAGTTGCATGTCGGAACAGGTGGGGACTCCGTGACTCGGGCAGAAACTTCGAGAAATAGAGGAAAGTGCTCGCTGGCTGAAGAAGTTACGAGAGGGCAAGAGATACAAGAGGCGTTTTACCTTTTTTTGGAGACAAGAGTTTGGGCAGATCCTCTTGAGGTAGGAGCTCTACTGTCGGGCTAAATGAGACATAAACAGTGAAAGACCTAGAACGTCATATGAATTCCAATACAGTGCTCATCTCTTCTACAGCATCTCAGTCGCTGCCGCTGAAAAACTCAACCTTTGTCCCACTGATGAGCAGGATTATGATGGATGCAGAGATGGAATCTGCTAGCACTTTTTCTCATTGACCATACTTTTTATAGCGTCGTAACTTGTCGAGTACGGGAAGCATGGCGTGTTTCATCCACTATTGGTCAGAGCTCACTGAGTGCTTCAAAATGGTGGCTAAGTTTCTCTCATATTCACATGCGCTGAGAAATTACAAGGAGTGGACCCTTTCTTTCTCATCGCACTGTAGGAACTCGGCTTAAGCGTATCAATCAGTCACAGCGAAGTAGGTTGTCGAGTTTACGTTGGTCAAAATTGATCTCGTGTTGGGCGGAATCGAATTTTAGTTTCCGAATTCATAAATTCCATTGTGAATTCAAACTTTAATTTCCCCGTGAAAGAATTTTTCCATTCTACGAAAAAATCTAATTGCATTTTTTTCTAATTTGCTTTTTCATTTGGCGAAGTTGGGAGTGAAGAGGTGTACTTGGCGAATAGAGGGGCCGCTATGCCCGAGGACTATGCCGTCTAAGAATTTATTTGCCGAGCAGGGGCCGCTATGCCCGAGGACTGTACTATCCGGGAATCTATTCTCCCAATAAAGGGGCCGCTATGCCAGAGGGCTATACCAGCCGGGAATCTATCCCCAATCGAGGGGCCGCTATGCCCGAGGACTATACCATCCGGGAATCTTTTTGCCGAATAAAGGGGCCGCTATGCCCGAGGACTATACCATCTAAGAATTTATCTGTCGAATAGGGGCCGCTATGCCCGAGGACTAAACTATCCGGGAATCTATTTCACGAATAGAGGGGCCGCTATGCCCGAGGACTATACCATCTAGGGATCTATTTGTCCAATAGAGGGGCCGTCAGGCCGGTGGATATTCGAATAAGGATTTCATTTCCGTGAATAAGGTTTTTAATTTAGTAATTAAGGAAGTCAATCTTGTCGATGAGGACGTCAACTTCGGGTCACAAACTTGACTCGCCAAATTTGGCTTGAAGGCGTGCACAAGATCCGCGATAGTTGTGACTGTGGCCTGAAATTGATAGCCTTATCCGTAAAATGGATTTCTGAAAGGTATACTCCCATTCCGTGGAAGCTGAACAGGGGATGCCTTCAGTCGATGACTCCGAGGTCATCCTCGAAAATGCTGGAAATGTCGAGTATGCTTGGCTGCATTGGATCGGCTACCGGGTACAGCTGGGTGATTCTATCTCGACTGGTTCTTCCTCTCCTACAGGTGTACGTCTACCAGACGCCTGATACAGTCTATATGTGCTTCTCGGACGTTTTGCCCATTCGGACATCTTAGCTCGAGGCGACTCTGAACCATTCGTCTCTTGATTTACTTGATATTACATCATACCAATGGTAAGAGTCTTGCCGTAGGATTAGCGCGGTCTCCTTGGAACCTCCCAAACTAGAAGCTCACCTAGCTTCGCACATCCTAATTCTGGCCATCCTAGTCTCACGGGTTAGCTACACCTCGTTCGTTTACTCATAGCATGGTCCTATCCTATGAAAAACCTCACCACACAATGTGTTTTTGGTGTAATATGATCAAGTAGAGATGTTTGGTGAGTCCCGTCAACTACACTCAGGCAAGTACTATCATTGCGTCTGGATTGCGCAGGGTACTTCGAAGATGAACTTAGGTTACCCGACATCTACCATGACTCCAACTAAAATTCTTGCCGATTAGAGTCTGCCGCTGTTTGCCGAGAGGTAGACGACCATCGTGGGCTTCTTCTGTTTCCACTCAGTACCCTCACGAAACTGAAGGGTTTATTAGCCATGGCCGAGTCCCTGTGGGTTGGTCGAGACGATCCCGGTGTCGACCAGAGCACATACAAAGTGCGATGTGCAGCCCGGAGACACCTGGTTTAATGGCTGTGAAAACTATCACTAACATGACTAATATTTCTGTATATACAGCTTGCTTTGAGTCTTGTCAAGTGTCTTATGGGTTGATCTGAACACTCTGCACTGCAGCTCTCACTGAGAAGTTCTTTCCGATTGATTCTTCTAGAGTGGAGAATAGCCAGGCTCGACCAGACGGGTGAGTCACACGGGTGACGTACTCTCCAGTTGAAACGACTTGGAGATATGGCCGCACTAGTGCCCCATTCTAGAGTTTCCAGCCGAAGTTGCGCTATCGGGCTTCTATGTCTACATCGTTCAGATCCGAGGGCTCAGAAGGTCTCCAGTTCGAGGCTGACGACGACGAGCTGCTGATCCGACAGACTGTAGGGACGGGCCCCACAGTCGACCAACAAATTGGGCATTCTTAGGGTCCATGGACTCTAGCCACAGCCACAGATGGCGAGGACGGCGACCGAGCCGCCGACCTTGTGGAGCCTAGTAACTGATACCTCTTCTTAGCATAATGATGAGCACCTTGTCAGGATCACCCACCTTCATATCACCGGTGACCATACATTCCCCTCGGCCTCATAATATGCACCATCTCCGTCACGGCACTCCTATCACTAGTAAGCCCGATACATGTTCTCTACGTCGTGCTCTTCGAAAGAACGTCTTCCCTGAGTCATTACACATAGACAGGGTCTTCATAAGCTTCTTTGTCGGGATGAAAGTTTTGGTATTCCCACACGTTTCCTACGTCATTTTGTTCTTGCTGGTGACATGATTAACAGATGAACTGTTGGGTGATCCGTAGGTGTTCTCAATCTTTGTGCGACAACCATCGGTGCCGGCATGCTTGGATTACCCAAGGCTTTCGCCTCTTGCGGGATCGTTATCGGAGTGAGAATAATCCACTGTGTGAGTAGAAGTCTTCTAGCTTCCTTTCACCTCGAGGTCCTGGTCATAATTATAACGTCGTGGGCTGCTGATAGGACCTTAGTATGGCTCGTTATGTGTGCCAGAGAAAGTCGACGAAGGTCTGTTCCAACCGTTCGCTATGTTCCGGTGTACGGAGCCTTCGTCAGGTCGTATGAGGGTAACGCCCAAGTGTACCTTGGACTCACTGGAGAGAGGCTTCTGAATAGTGCGTTGGTACGGTGAGTGCCTTATCGCATTTCAGTATTGTTTCCGTCAGCTACTCTTGCTACTGGGAGCATGCATGGCGATGATGGTCATCACCATCGATCTATCACCACCGTTCCTCGCACCAGTCCTCCCTTGGGTACTTCCGACCTCTTTTCCTCCCATCCCGGTGTCCTTCCACAGACGTCTCCTTGGGTTGTAGCGATCCTTACCGGTATGTTAGTATTACCCTTCACTTTGACCAGAGACCACAGGTCAGCTACACCCCGCATGGCGCTAGTCTGCATTGCTCTCTCTTAGTGTTCTACATTACGCGTCTGCTGGCTCCCTTCTATGTACTCTTGTTCTCTTTCTCACTCTGGTCTGCGTGATCATTACTGCTGATGAGAAGGTACGCTACAGATGCTCCCTCAACGAGCACTCCTCTGCAGATTTCCTCATCAGTGTCATTCTGGCGCCCTCAGCAAGGTCTCTGGTCGGTTATTGCCTCCTTCCCTCTAGTGCTGTCGTCATACGTAGGACACTTCAATATTTTCAAAATTGAATATGAGCTCAAACACCGTTACCATGCTGACATGAGTACTACGACCATGGAACAATACCACTACTCTTTTCACAACTACAACAGATAATATCATCCACGTATCAATAGCGGCTATAGCAACACCTCTCTACGTTGCCTCGGGTATTATCGGATACCTCCTCTACGGCGAGAATGTGAAGAGCAATCTCGTGGAAGTAGGGAGTAGCTTGTCGTAGTCAGTGACTATTGACCTCAGGAGTGGACGGGCTCCTCGCAGTGGATACTGAAAGGATGTCTTCTGGCAGTGATTTTGACCAACATGTAAGGAGTGAATAGGACAGGCCGTTTCCATTACTCATCGATCAGATGCAAGTTCCCACTGCTGATCATACCCCTCCGCGAGAGCCTCACCGAAAGAGTATACATCAGCGCTGTCACTTGAGTCACCTCAATGCTAGGTCCCCACATTGAAGCACGTTAACCCCACAATCCTCACAGCTTCCCTACTTGCCTTAGTAACCCTGGCTGCTCTATCTACCGAATCCCTAGGCACCGTAAGGATGCTTCTGTTTCTATCGTATGAATCTGCATCTTTGAGGTCCTGACGCTCATCGGCAGCTTAGCAGGTTCTGCAGTAGGGCTTTTTCTACCGGCGGCCATGTGCGTCTGATCACCCCTCAGTTGGTTGGAAGTATCTGCAGGTACGTCGCTTATCAACGTCGTGTCCACGCTCGTGAGATTCTATTGCGAGAGGTTGAACAAGCGGCAATGGATACTCTGCAAGACCCCATGCTGGGGGGCATCTTGTCTCCTCCATCGCTGGCGCCTGTGGAGGCTCCCAACGTCAAGTATTGGACGGCCATCCCAACCGTACGTGCCATGCGTCTCATTAGTTCTTATTATCTCACAGGCAATATTCATACTTGGTATTGTCGAGGCTATCCTTGGGCTAGCCGCCACGGTGAGCAATTGGGGGACTGAGTGACTAGTTATTCTCTATTGAGTCTTTGAGTTCATCACAGTACCGTAATGGGTGGAGACTTCGTCGTGGATATATCATTCGGAATCGTGCGTAAGCAAAGCGGCATTGCCGAAGCCTTAGTCTGATTTGTAATGACGCGCCAGAGTTTCATACCTGAACCCATCTTATCCCCAATGAGATGGCAACTAGGCATTAGGCGAACCCAACATACATTAACACAAGAAACCATAGAGTAGTCTTCTCATAAGAGATCACTACTCTGGTAGAGAACATGCCGAATATCTGCAATTTCAAGCTCTGATTTCCAGGCTGGAAGCCCCAGCGGTTTACAGAGGAGAGCACTTCGCCAGGATGAGATTCCTTCCTGCAAGGTGCCATCCTCCCAGAATGGCGACATGTTCACCCAGAGCACAGATCTGGCATCATTGTCAAAGGTTTCCATTAAAACCAGACGTATAGACCTGCTCATCTCCGCCATTCTGTGAGATAATATGTTCCAGTCCGCGCTCCAGATTTGCGATTCTGTCGGGCATTGCCAGTACTCTCTGTGGGCTCCAATCTCGCCATAACCCACTTCCTGCCACTCAGCCCTTGAGAGGCTCCATTCGAGGATTTTCTTTGAAGAAGTAAGCTAACGGGTTATCGAGTAAATACCTCGTTGCGCGGCTACATTTGTTGGCGTATTTCCATGCTGATGCTACTCTTTCCATGAGCGTTCAATGGCATCAAATATACAAATGGGCCTCATAACATGAGAACGACTGTACTGAACGCAATACAAATGATGGTTCACGTAATTTCTGATTATGGGGAAAGTGAGTGTAAATAGACCGATTTTCAACGAAACATAACGTTGAGGCTATACTCTTCCACCAACCACATGGAGACAAATCAATGGCGTGGATAAACTGATCATTCTATGACAAATTCGAAACTAAACGATAGACCGACAATATTTCGAGGTGACGGATAGCCACAGCAGTTCAGTTACAGTTTCAAGGCCCTGTTCGAGTTCTACTTGGTGATATCGTGGAATATTCAGCGTAATGCTACACCGTTAGGAAGAAGACATACAATACTTGAGACAAAACAGGCCTACCGAAAAAACGCAAAAAAGCTGTGCTGAACTGATGCCCTGCAGGAAGAAAACCCGTGGTACACTCTCAGTCTGAGAGAGAGACTGTACACACGGAAACCGTACACACGAATCCACAACCTGTGACTCACAGGTTGTGGATTCGTGTGTGCGGTATCCGCATCATTGCCAGCAGCTACTTCCCCTCCCAGACTCACGGAACAGAGGCTCAATTTTACGTTATACCCCACCGGGGTAATCCCGGTTATCAGACTGAGTCTGGCAGAAACTGATGCACCTGTTGGGAACCGAGGGGGTCCTCCACACTAGGTCCTCTGGCTGCTCGAGCCCCACTAGCACTTGACTCAACAATTTACCCAAGAGCATTCACCTTACTTAATCACACAAGAAGATACTTGTCCAATATCCATATCCAATCAAGACGGAGTAGTGTAGAGCAGCAAATTAGAGGAATACACAGATGTATACCAAAACCACAGAGGATAATAACCAGTAACACATAAGATAGACTCTTATCGCCTAGACGATAACTCTTATCCAGAAAATACCTCTCATGGTTACCAGTCTTATACGGACTTACTCAGTGCTAGGCTACGCAGCTGCTACACAGAGGCATTAGTATCAATGAAAATGTCTGCATACAATAAATGTTCGAACACATCCGCGTTATTCCGATCCCGCCGGGCAGAGGCACATGCTCATTGATCCTATCTGATGAATCAGTGATGATACAGAGGTTTTAGAACAGTGGTCAACGAGGACAGGTCGCGCATCAAGCGGAACCTCCAGATAGTTAGAGGCCGGGCCTCACATCCATCGGATGGATTCCATCCAGACAGCCATCCGGACAGCTCGTGGTAATCAGTTGATGCGCAGCCAAAGCAATCGAGTGCACTTTAGTTTAATTCTCAAAAGAGGATCCCACAATGAGCTCATGGGGTCAGATCACAAGGCTACTTGGGAGTTGCCGTATGATTTCTCGTATTCCCTCAACTAGAGTAAACGCAACTAGATGATACAATGGGAAAGGAACCATGCATCGTCAACCCCCGTCAAAGGCAAATTCTCGAAGGGTTGCTTCGTCCATGCTGTTGAGTATCTCGTACTCTTCAGTCATCTCCACAGCACAAGATGACGATGATGATGACGCTCGCGGTGGAGCAGGGGCACTTGAGCTCCAGCGATCACTCAGGACAGCTATCACACGACTGACTATCCTCTCACCATACTTCTTCATCCGTTGCGCACCCAGCCCGGGTATCCCTTCCAGATCCTGTATGCTCTGCGGAAGCCTTTGAATGCACCCTATGATGGTGTTCTCATTGAAAACAGTATGAGCCTTCGTCAGCTTGTGCTCCTCCATCAGCGATTGCCGCAGATTTCGTAAAGCCTCTCTGAGTTTCATCTCAAGCCCCAGATTGATCTGTTGGTTGATGGAGCTCGGTCTCGACCAGTCCGTCGGGTCACGGCTGCCAGGAGATTGCACAACCTTGAAGTAGTCGCTGAGGCGCAGTCTCTTGCGGCCTTGCGGCTCGAGAGTTCTCTTCCTCTTGGGAACGTATGCGGTGAAATTCCCACTGATGTTCCTTCCCGGCTCGAGATATCTGTCATTAATATCAAAGCACCTCAAGCATCACTGCTACCCAACACAGTTGCCTTGTTCCATCCTTTCACAACGTTCATGTAGCCAGCGCTGTGTAATCATTCTCCGAAGGAAAGCCAAGGCAAGATCTCCAGTCAAGGGTGCAGCGCAGATCTTCGCGTTTCGAAGGCAGTTGGAATAGACCCCCAAATGAGGATATGCTGATAAGTTCTTACCTGATGAGGGAGATGGCTGTTGGTTGTTGATGCCATTAAGCTACTTCTAGAGCCAATACAAATATCTTTCAGCGTGTTCAGTCCCAGAGGTTTCTTCAAACCGCCTCCTTGAGCCGTCCGTACGACCTCTAAGACTTTATGGGCCGCCGCCGTTTGATCAGTGAGTTCCCATGTCTGAGTACTGTCGTCGGAGGCACAGATGTCGCATGGCTGTTGGCCTTCATCTTCTCGACACGTAGGGACGTCAGTGACGTTGAAGTGCCTGAGCGGCGGCGGCGGCGGCGGCGGCGGAGGCGGCGGTAGAAGCAACGCCGGGTCCGATGAAGTTACTGGGCTATGAGTTTCCTTCGACAGAGGGAGCGATTCTCGCAGTATTCAACCACGGACAATAAACTGTCTATCTTCTTCTCTGCTTGGTCAGCTGCAGCACTGTTCCTCGTAGTCACATTAGTCCGTATCATAACATCTTGTTTAACCTAATACCACTTCACCTTGACGCGCCTTAAATGTGGTGATACTTTGTCTTGATAGTCGTAGAAGAGTACTGCTAGACTAGGATACCCATCACGGCCAGCCCTGCCACTCTCCTGATAGTATCTAATACCACAACTCTACCAAATCAACGACCACTGCGGGTTCCTACCCTTCCATTGTCTTGGAGAGACCATAGTGGATGACAAAGCGCACATCAGGTTTATTGATGCCCATGCCGAATGCAATGGTAGCTACGATTACCTACAGGCCTGAACATTAGCTCAGCCACCCAGGACTGCATACCTGGATCTTATCAGCCATCCATCGCCGTTGAATGTCTGTTCTGTCGTCGGTGTCCATCGAAGCGTGATAGAAGCCTGCGGTAACTCCGAGATTCTTGAGTCCATCTGCAACGGTCTCGCATTCGACCTTGGTGCCTACTCTATTGATAACGTCAACCCTACCAATATGGGCATCTTACCGCAGTAAACAATACCAGAGGCCTTCCCCTGCACTTCTCCGTTCATGTCCTTGATAAGCTGCAGTATATCATTCAGTACTCGGCTGCGGCTTTTCTTCATCACCCTGTATCTGCCTCAAGCGTCCGAGCTATGAAGCAGTCCCTACCGCAACACGCTAAATTGGCTCGGTTTATGCCGCCTTTAATGAAGACCGTGTTGGTCATCCTGAGCTGAGCTTGTACGTCTTGAGCGATGCCCGGCGTTGCAGTGGCGGTAAGAGCTGTGATGGGGACCTGGGGAAGAGGCATATCCTCTATTCCACATCTACTGTGGTACATCGTCGAACGCTGCCTTCAGATTTTTCAGTTTCAAATAGCTAGAACGGAAGTCGTGCCCCCACTGGGAGACACAATGAGCTTCGTCGATGATGAACCTGTGAGGGGTGAGGATGATGAAGGTGATGCATTCCACTCACCGAGCTAGCTGCCCGTTCTTTCGGAGTCGCTTCAGTATGTTCGCCACTCGAGTAGATTCTGCCAACTTCTCGGGTGTCACGAAGACTAACGACACCTAACCACAGTGTTGGAATATACGTCTGATTTGGTCAGCTCAGGAGTTTCATTGCCATGCGTTGTGAAGTCTCATACACGATTCAGCCTAGGAGTGCACAAAGAGCCAACGACAAGTAACCAAATTTCCCTCAGTGTAATCATCAGGCGTAGTTGATGATCATGTCGATAGTGATTACCTCGGCACCCGCTAGCATAGAGTAGGAGTCTTCGTGGACCGTAGAATCACCTGGTAAGAGGCTGCTACGCTGAGATCGAAAATGGACTATTCGATAAAACTCACTGAGTTGTTGGTCTCGGGGGCCGCCACCCTTTAGAACTGTAACGCTGATGCCAAGCTCTCGCATCTGCTCTTCTTGGTCGCTTATGAGGGACACAAGGGGCATGACGACGACTGTGACCTATAGGTGGAGACGGTCGCCTTGAGTCACACGGAGTGGTTCACACCTGCCCCTCGAGCTCGTGATTGAGGACCGCTGGTAGTTGAAAGACGAGGCTCTTGCCTCCCCCAGTGGGCATTGTGACGAATACATCTCGACCACTCAAGGCTGCGTTGATAGCCTCTCGCTGTTGTGGGCGGAAATCACAGTTGCCAAAGACTGAAGTCACCCATCTCGATGACGTCAAGTCCCAGTTGTAGCGGCGGAACTTACCGCGGTTGTTAATCTCATCCACAGTCCTATCCCAGGGAAATTGGCCCCTCCATCGAGAGTGATTGTTTCCATGATCTAACGGGGAACTCGGGATACAGAGTACACCGTCGTGAGCTCCTTCGTTGTGTGTATCCGTAAGAGCCTCGATACCCACCGAACCAATTGATGACACTCCGCTGGTCGGGTATTGATCGAGACATGGGCCCTGGGGCTGGTGACCAGGAAGTGAGCCACGTCCCGATCCATGAACAACGGGAAGTACGGCTATACCCGTGTGGTGAGCGTCGTTGAGCTGGGGTAGGGAAGGGGTGATTTGGGGTAGAGTAGTGGAAGTGGTTGACGGGTCCCGAGTGTATGAGACCGACTGAGTGGCGTCCACCGATCTCGCCTGTCGCTTCACAACATTAACAGAAGAGTAGTCCGGATCAGGGTAGACCTTCTGTATTGGTCTGCTGTACTCTTTAGCATTGCGGAAAATGTTTATGAGTTGGTCGAAATTCCCGACAAGGACCGGCTGAGGCGGTGGTGGATGTCGACAGGCCTCCTCGACGAGGCTTCCGACAGGTAGGGGTCCTTGAAGACCGTACTCTCTCGTCCCTAACTTCGATAGCTGGTCCATGAGGTTATGCCGGATCCCGGGATATGGATCCGCCATAGACTGCATATGTATATCAGGAAACAATGACTGGATTGAGCATACCAGTGACAGTATCCTGGCTGAACGAGCAGCAGTGATGAAGTCTTGAGAGGGTTCAATTGACTGGCCAATGAACGCAAGACACGTCTCGCTTACCTAGGTCTGTCTGACAAACGATATAAAACTCTTGTGGGCACCCGAACAACTACAATGTTGAGTAGAAGCAATACAGTAAAAAGCGTCCGGTGTTGAGCCGAAACCACTCCACAACTCGTATATGCTAAGATTGAAATAACTGGAAGAATAGAGTCCCCCAGTGATAGTTCCGCCGACCGATAGTCGACCGTAAAACGTGAGTGATGAGAATTGGTCCACACTGAAATTGGTAGTAAAAAAACTCGCCCATATGGTACAGCGCTCGGCTGGTACAATCGAGGCATGAGGCGGTTCTTTAGGCTACTACTATAGCCAGAAACATTCGCCTCAGCACGATTGGAAGGAGCTATGAGAATCAATATGATGACAGATCACCGGACTGTTAACGATAAATTTTAAAGACGGCTAACCCTAACGTGTAGGGAACGATGAGAAAATATACATGTTGATGTGTGGGGTCCGAGACAATTATGAACGATGTGTTCATCTATTTCGAACCAACAAAAACTGAAGCCGTTATATCGGCGAGAGAAGAAATAACGAGATGTTGTCCGAAGTGCCAGCGTAAAACGCAAAACGGCCAGCTATGATCTACCCCCATTCTGAATGGGCGGGTTGCTGATGACGGAGCGCTTCCTGCCACCGCAGTGATCGAGTGGTTGGCATTCATCTGTAATAGAAGGAAAGATGAGAGGAGGGATTATTATACGATTGGAGATTGTCGTCCTTAGTGCATGGAGCTTTCGATGAACTTCTCCGGCAGTATGGACAATGTGGGGCTTCCTTGAACCACCTGCGGGATTGCGAGTGGCTAGGGTATGCGTATTGATAACGAATGCTCACATGCGAATACAATCGGCGTGGTATAAGTGTCCACAGCAGAGCTT